TATTGGAATGTCCTTGTGGAATAAGTTGTTTGGCTTGACAAGTATAAGTTGTGTGATTCCTAAATCATCCATATCCATGTTTATTGAAGATTTGAAAGGTCTGATAAAGTGGTGACTCTTTGGTATTGTGCTATCTTTACTGCATTTTGGGTCATTTGGAAGGAAAGAAATGCAAAAAGTTTTGAAGATCGGAGCGGAATGGTAGGAGGAATTATGGGATCAAATTTATTATTTAGTGTCTTTTTGGGCATTGTTAACCAAGGACTATAAAAGAATACCATTTTTTGCTATTCTAGTGGGATTTGAGAGTTTCATGTGATTTATAGGCTTTTATGTCATTTTTCCTTTTTCCATTATTTTTTTTCTAATTCATGGTTGGATTCTTATCCAACTTTTTTGATGTACATTACATTTTTATTAATACAAAGTTTATGTTTCCTATCAAAAAAAATTGCCCGGAATTTGTTGCTTTAACTCCTGTTTGTATACTTTGTTTTTATTGCAGGTCGGTAGCATCCAGCCCACTCCAAAGAAGATTAGGTTTGAGGAAGAGTAGATCTTTGTAGGAATAGAGAGGTATGTTTTTTGCCACTGGGTGCACAGATATTTTCTTTAAAATATAAATAATGAGCTTTATTTGCATTTCCCTCACCATCGGTTAGGTTGGTTGTGGACACAAGAACAAAGAGATGCACTAGTAGCTGTATTATGTTCTGAAAGTTTAGGTTATATCTATCTCTGTTACGGAGTGTGATCTTTCAGCTGATTAATTGGTTGTTTCTTGGCTTACGGATCATAGAAGTCTGTTTTAGGCCTACAACCTTAAATTTTGGTTGTGCGAACAAACCACCTGTATTTTTTTATGAAATTGCTTTAGTGGGAAATGTTCCAAAGTTTTGGTCTCTTAATGTGGCCAGCCTACCTACGTGTTTGTTCTGTATGGTGCCAAGTTCAATAATTGGGCTGATAACTGCATTTTTTTTCCTGGAAAAAAACCAGTCTGATTGTTGATCTTTTCACCAGTTGTATATTTTTGTTACTTTTTCCATTTTCGAACATCTGGTGCATGTTTCTGCTTCAGAATGTTGTTGGATTGCAGCATCACACAGTACAAATCACAGATTCTCCTGCAGGAGGCAGAAATTGTAAGCAACATTACCTATTGATACAAAATACCAACAGGACTACAATTACTTCACGAATGAAAGGCTCGACCCTAGCATGGGATGATGAACCCAAACTGCAACTTAATAACTTCCGGATGGTTAGTATACTAATGTTCCGTTTGGTAGGAAGGATGAAAAGTAGGAGAGATACATTTTTTATTCTTCAAGGATGGAAAATAGGAATGATACACTTTCCTTCCTTTGTGTTTGGTTGGATGGATGAAAAATAAAAATAACAATTTTTTTTTTTTGTTAGTTATGATTAGGAGTGACAATCGAGTCGTGTCGTGTCAGATTCATGTTGAGTCATTATAGATTTGTGTCGAATATTAGTTAAACCTATTTTAACTCATTTAACTAATTGTGTCTTGTCGAGTTGCGAGTTGACATGTTTATTTTTATATCGAGTTCGAATCGCATTATTGTATTAAGTCAAAAAATTTTACCCTTAGTTAAGATGAAAAAAAATATTTTTTTTAATTTAAAATTTTAATTTTTTTAATTTTTAATTTTTAATTTTTTAATTTTATTTTTAATATAATAGTAATATATATGAAATTATATTTATATTATTATATTTTTATATGAAATTAATGTATACATAATATATGTATATATAAAAAGATATATAGACAAATAAGATATATTTTAATATAAATAATTAATTTTTCATTCAATTTTCTTCCGATTTGGAGAGATTGATTTTGGTGAGTTTGAAGGAAAGTTAATTTATCCACTTTTCTATCCTTCCTACTATGATGTTTTATTTATCTTTTTAACTTTCAATCCTTTCAACTTTTCATCCTCTCACTTTTTCATTATACCAAACGTAGCATAATAGTATCTTGTTCATTGCTGGTACCTAACGCTGCTATGTTTTTGTATTAACGGAAGAATGATCCATTTTGTCCAAAAGAGTTTCATTATTCCAAGGGATATGTTCTCGGCTTGGGTTCTAAAAATTAATCTCTTTCAAAATGAGGATAAAACGTTTTTGCCCTGGCCCCAGCATACCTTTGTCTTCCATGCTATATCTTTGTGGTTTAATACCATTCATATTAGGTCTGTCTACCATGTTATGTGAGTCGACTTATATTGGGTCTTAGTGAATTCATGCCAAAAAAATATTCATACTTGATTGTTTTATTAATTCATTTATAATAAATTGTGTTGTATAAATCGTGTACATTTTGTATATAAACGAGTTGTGTCATTCATTTTTTTTAATTAATTTCACTAATATTTGATTTATTTATTAATTATGTCATATCGGATCCTTTCATTTACGAAATAGGTAACTTAAATATTTTAATTTTGTGTTGTATTAATGTAATTTTGACACCATTAATTCATATGATATACATGTAATAATTAAGAATATGAAATTAGCCATTAATTTAGAAGGAATACAAATTTTAAAACCCCAATCTAACGTGTTTAATTTTATAATATAAGAAATGAATGGATACAAATTCCTTCCATATCATTTTAACCCAACTATATCAGCTGGATTAGATACACTGTCAAATCACAAGGTATTCTCTTAATTTCAATATATCTGACAAATTATACTTTTAATCCTTTAATTATGGACTTGATTTTATTTTATCGCTTAAATTTGAATTAATCCACATTTCTTCAAATGCAAAGCAAATATGCCCTATATTTTTTGAAAAAAATTAACAATGGATCGGTACAAAATAAAAAAAAAATTGTATAATTCAAAGGGTAAAATAAAATAATATTTCTTCAATTTTGTAACCGACTTTAATAATTAGAATCTTAGGCTTAAAAGGACATGTTCTTCAATTATACAACTAAAAAAAAAAATTCTGTAAAACACTAATATGCAGGTTAAATTTAGGTAAAAACATATATATAAGTGACCTCAAAGGAGGGTAATAAGGATGAAAATGAGAAGAGCAGCAATGAAGGAATACTTGAGAGCAGCAAGCAAAATAGCCAATGATATGAAGAAGAGCTGCCCCAACACTTGCAAACTTGCCCAAGCAAGAACACCCGTCAATCCAACGGCTAGGATGTTATCTGGGTCTGGGTCCAACAACAGATTGACCCACTTTAGATTGAATCTGGGCCCTCCATTTCCCTCTTCCTTCTTCACATCTTCTTCTCTGCCACCGTTATTAACGTTGAACCCATTCTCTCTTTTTTCTCTTTCCTCCGTATCTGTGTTCACACCCCCATTACTATTATTGCCCTTACCATTCTCTGCATGGGTCGATAATTTTCTAGGGTTCTGTTGCAATCGAGATTTGAAGGGTAAAGATGGCAAGTTTNATGGAGGACCCCAAGGAGGAGCACCACTCGGAGGTGCACAACATGGAGCACCCCAAGGAGCTCCACGTCCTGGACATAAAAGAGCTCCACACCTTGCACATCAAGCAGCTCCACAACTTGTTGACGGAGGTGCACAACATGGAGGACCCCAAGGAGGAGCACCACTCGGAGGTGCACAACATGGACCCCAAGGAGGAGCACCACTTGGAGGTGCACAATATGGAGGACCCCAAGGAGGAGCACCACTCGGAGGTGCACAACATGGAGCACCCCAAGGAGCTCCACGTCCTGGACATAAAAGAGCTCCACACCTTGCACATCAAGCAGCTCCACAACTTGTTGACGGAGGTGCACAACATGGAGGACCCCAAGGAGGAGCACCACTCGGAGGTGCACAACATGGAGCACCTCAAGGAGTTCCACGTCCTGGACATAAAAGAGCTTCACACCTTGCACATCAAGTAGCTCCACAACTTGTTGACGGAGGTGCACAATATGGAGGACCCCAAGGAGGAGCACAACACGGAGATGCACAACATGGAGGGCCCCACGGAGGTGCACAACATGGAGCACCCCAAGGAGCTCCACGTCCTGCACATCAAAGAGCTTCATGCCCTGCACATCAAGTTGCTCCACGCCTTGCACATCAAGCAGCTCCACGCCCTGCACATCAAGCAGCTCCACAACTTGTTGCTCCTTATTTGGGCGCCCCCTTTGGAGTTCCCTTGGGGTGCCCTTCATAGGGGAGCTCCCCACGGGGGACCTCCAACTCCTTTTCTAGCTCCCTTTTATNACAACTTGTTGCTCCTTATTTGGGCGCCCCCTTTGGAGTTCCCTTGGGGTGCCCTTCATAGGGGAGCTCCCCACGGGGGACCTCCACCTCCTTTTCTAGCTCCCTTTTATCATGGTGGGGGCTTTCTTTTCCAAGAGGACAAGGGTGAGAACCAGAGCATGGAGCATGAAAGTCATTTCCAAGATAATTCCAAAGGAGCTCCCAACCACTGAGACAAAAAAATAAAAGAGGTACAAAATCAATTAGACGACATTTTCAACACTATGAAAATGTCATCCGTTGAAACCTTTGACGGTACGAAGGACCCACTTGATCACCTCGAAACTTTTAAGACCATGATGCAACTACACAGCGTCCCCGACGAAATTATGTGTAGGACATTCCCAATTACCTTGAAGGGATCAGCGCAACAATGGTTCGCCAAACTCACCCCGGCCTCCATAGGCTCCTTCGCCGAATTGAGCAGATCCTTTGTGACACAATTCATTGGTGGACGCCGCCAGCAGCAGCCTGTCATCCATCTGCTCAGCATAAAACATGATCGTAATGAGAGTCTAAGGAGTTACCTCACTCGTTTTAACGTGGAAGTCCTCCAAATCGAGGAACCCAATGACAAAGTCGCCATGACTGCCTTCCTGGAAGGTCTCTGCTCATCCAGATTCCTTTTTTCAGTAATAAAGCAACTANATTGAACTAATGGCGATCACTACCCGATCCATGAACCAACCTGAAGACAATCCTCCGCGAGAGGAAGAGATTGCTCCCCCGCCTACCAACTCTGTCCCGGATATTCTAGCTCCGAATCCCCAGCAAAAGTTGGAGATCATGCAACAACTGCTTGCTCAAAACCAACAGTTATTACAACTCATACTTGCTGGACAAGGAGGAGCACCACTCGGAGGTGCACAACATGGAGGACCCCAAGGAGGAGCACCACTCGGAGGTGCACAACATGGAG